GGTAAATGTGTGTGTGTGTGTTTTATGGCGCGTCGGACACACTAGTTGGACCTAATCTTTTGTGAGAACCTATAGGAGTGCCCTGCGCCGCCACGTCTCACAGCCAGCTGAACCGCCAGAAGCTGAGTTATCACTGTGCTAACGCCAGTGCCAGCGTACCTACCAACTTAACGACAGACTGACGGACAGACGTGGACACGCAGGTAAAGATCACCCCTTGTGCCCGTTGACGCAAAAGTGAATGTCGTACGGTGATGGCCGTACGACACCGTACTGGCACGCGCCACCGCGGGTGATGTCCGTAGCCCTACCCATCCACACATCCGCTCATACGGGCTCCCACCACCCCTCCTTTTCTCCCCCTCCCCTTTCACCTCCTCACCAAGTCATCGCCACCCGCGCCTCCTCCCCCCGCGCCACAACACCCCCCGCGCGCTAAGCCATATGCGATACGCACGATGCACAGTATTCACAATCGTACATTTTCCGACCGTTATATCGTACAACTTACGCGCGGCCCTCGGGCCCCAGGCGGTCGCTACCGTACTTGTACGTCGCCAGGATTACCACCCCTGCTGGGTTATAGTCTACCAAACCCACGGGTTGCAGTCGGGGGGCCGGAAAGCTGGCGGCTAGGCGCGCGGCAAAGGCGCGGGTTGCCAAATCAGGCATGCCGCGAGCGGTTAGCAGTACGCACGGCACTGTGTGTTTCGGGGGGGGGAAAGGGGGGGGTGAGTGGGGGTTGGGGTTGGGGGCCCGATATTCGAATAAATCTGCTCTGCATAACTACGTAATCAGTACGGCCAAACCATCGGCCTGTTTTACTTGCTAGCGCTGCTACTACTGTTTTTTTTGCGTCAAGTCCCTGCTCTCCACTTCCCCCTCCATCTCCCCCCTCCCCCTCTCTTTCCTAACCTCCCCACCTCCCAACTCACAATGGTCCCAAATACGATCTTCAGCAAGCCTCTGAAACACCGCGTCCTTCTCGACCACCAGCAAATAGCAACTGCCGCCACTACCGCCGCCACTACCGCCGGCAGCAGCAGCAGCAGCAGCAGATCCCCCGGCTGCTGCTGCTGCTGCTGCTGCGGGTGACATGAGCTGCAATCCGAACCTGGCAATGGTGGCCATGTCGCCCGGAAGTGCCCGACCTGAAGGACCTGGGGAAGCAGTGTGTGAGGGGTGTGAGAGGCAGGAGGGGTTTAGCAGGAGGAGGAGGTCGAGGGAGGGGGAGGTCAAGGAGGATATAAAGAAGATGTAAAGGAAGGGGTTGAAGAAGGCGGAGATCGATCGTACCACCAAAACCCACCATTCACCCGTTCACCCTGCCCCCCGTACCCACCCACTCCCACCGGCGGTACTGCAGTCCACCCAGGGTGAAGCGGGTCCGTCTCGCAGCTGCAGCCGCCCCGCCACCGCCCCACGCCCCGCACACGTCACCCCCAGGCCGCTGCGGGGCACACCCACCAGCGCCGCGGCGTCAGCAAGCGCGGAGTTGACGTCCCGCGGGGTGCAGAACAACGGTGGCTTGAGCAGCTGACGGCAGTAGCACCGTCAGTAGCAGTACCAGCAGTAGCAGTAACAGTAGCACCGGCAGCGACAGTATCAGCAATTGCAGGAGCACTAGTAAGAGTACGAATTGCAGTAAGATGGCAGTTGTGACAGCAGGATGGGCGGCAGGTGGTGATGGTGGGGATTGAGGGGGGAACCGAGGGCGGCCTCGGAACCGTTCATGACGTCATTACTTGATATTTACAAAGTGCGTGTTGGGGAGGGGCCGACATGAGGGAAGGGGAAATGTGTCTGTACGGCGTGTTTTTTTGTGTGGAGGAAAATAGGTGTGCGGTCGTCTTAAGGAGGCGATGGTGGTGGCAGCATCCGTATATATATACATGCATTTGCATGTGTCAGCGTACGACACTAATGGGCACGGAAAATACTGCTCTGGCACGGAAACTGCACGTGGATTTATGCGGCTGCCGTACGGGTGCACGCAATTCGTACCGTGTAGTACAGGTCCCGCTGCGTGGCCTGACGGCCCTGGCGCAGGAGGTCGTGTACGGCATTAAGGACCGCCAAAACTGTGGAGGCGCAGCCAGCGTGGCAAATACAGCCGAGGGGGGAAAGTTGGAGGGGACGGGGGGAAGAGCTGTTGTGTTTCGGCTCCATTTGGGTCGGCAGCGGCGCGGCGTGGCATACGAGCCCCATCCAAGGGTTATGGGAAGCGTGTGTCATGTTTAGAGAGAGAGCTACATGCTGCTTGAGCAAATAAATAAATAAATAAACGACGGTCATAATACTGGATCAACTCGTGACAAAAATGTCTCCTTTAATCCGGAAAACAAAACTCCGTTATATATTGTCGGGGATGCAGGAACGAAGGGCACTGTCCTGTCTTCTAGAGGTGTTTGGGAAGATAACTGGATCTTTTTACAATCATCAGAACCGACCGCGAGCATACGGAAGTGCTGCAGCGCCTTGGTTGCTCAGCAGGCAGCGCTCTACGCCGCGTTCTTGCAGCTGCTGCTGGTGGTGCTGCCGGCTTCGCGCCCGTGGACGGGAGCCCAGCTGCAACCTGGGAACGCCGCCTTCTGCGATCTCCGTAACCATAGCCTCAACCGTTGTTTCGATTCGCGCCAAAACGCTGTTTGCGTCAAGCCCAAAAGTTAGATCGGCCTGCTGTGACCCCGAGGCGGGAAACTGCGAATCGCCAAGCCTCATATCGGCCATCATGCGTTGTGCAGCCAGTCAGAGCAGAGCAAAGAAATTGCGGTCGATAAAAGGTGGGTAATTAGGCTCCGAGTCCATCAGCTTTGAAATTCGGGTTGGGCCAGCCTTTTTGGACGTTTCGGCTTCGGAGCAGGCGGTCTTCACGAAAACGTCCCTAACCGAATCGAAAAAATCTGCATGCCCCTAAGCCAAGAAAAAACCTGAGTAAGCTTAACGTCCGTCTAAAATAATCCTTAGAGGTTTGATCTGAACGAATATATCATTATGCAAGAGATTCTTGCAACGAGAGGCAGCCGGCAGCTTAAAGAAGTTGAACGGCCGCTAGTGTGGCACCTGCACCCACCGCCAGCGCGCCAGCCGCATTCCAAGGAAAGGTTTGGGAAGCATAAACAAGAGCCATGTGCGCAGACATGGAATATGTTATGTTATGTGACAAAGACGCTGTCCAGGAGATTGGAGCGTCAAAGCGAACTACATCGGCGTGATGTAGTCTCTCTTCAAATTTTCAGAATAGGCTGCGGATCCAATCAGGGCTGCGGTTGTTCAGTCCGCAGCATCCCAAGAGATAACGAAACCTCACTACCATGACTAAAGGCTTGCGCGGCGAGGCTCTTCCACGGTCTAAATGTTCATGGTCTACGAGCTATAAAATCTCGGCGAGTATGCAATCCTCCCGAAAGCCGAATCACCTCAGAGGACCACAGCCCAAGTTAGACTCCAGAGGGCGTACCTGCCCCGACACGAACCTGGCTGGTCTTCTTAGAACTTCTAGGCGGCCGCAAAGGTGCTCAAGGCAGTAAGGAGGCTCACCGATGTCCGGGTGACTCGCCAACAGCGCTGCGTGTCCCACAACGTCCGAGGGCCCTCTTACAAACAACGCAAAGCTCCAAAACGTCACCACTTACAGGATTAGCAAAGGAAGAGCGCGACTAAGGAAAAAGAAAACAAAACCTAACCGATAACTATCTCAAAATCATCTGCTGCAACTACTGTACGTATATACTTATCGTTGAGATCCCAACGAAATTTTGCGCCAAGCTCACATGCACCTTGCGACAAGCTGTCCAGACTGGTCTAATCCCATTTCCATACCGCTCATACACCCCTGTAATGTAAGGCTAATTACATGCCAGACGTAGGGCCTAGGCCTTCTGAGCGTAACTCATTTCCTAAGGCACACAAGCAGCTCTCATGTTCTCGCAAAAATGCCTTTGTATGCGTCTCTATCGATAAATTAAGTCCATCCATCGCATCCACCATAAAGCAGCCGCCACGCGCACCGCCTTCCATAGCTTACCGCTCTCGAGCCGCACGCACGCACCCTCACACACGCACGCGTACATAATAGTTTTTCGAAAACGATACCTACCGCTAGACCAGAGTCCCTGCAGCTGCTGCGCCTCAATTCCAGGATTTCATCCTGGCCTATTTCCCCTCCTATTATGCTCGGACATGCATATGGCAAATTCTACGCGGCATTATCCTCCCTCCCCTCCTCCTCCTCCTCCTCCCGCCTCCCACTACACACGCATTCATCACCACCCTGCTGTGCCCTAGACCAGTTGACTAAAGCTTGTTGTCCTAATAGAATGCCATGAATTCATGTTTTCTTCCGCCAGCCGTCATCGCAAGCAAGCGTGCAGCCCAGATATGTTTAACCTTCCGTGCCACCTTTACTTCGCCCTTTCCCCCATTGCCCTAAGTTTAATGCGCCTCTGGCGCCAACAGCCGCCAACCCCCAAGTGACCACCCCCCGCGTTACTCCGCGCAATCAATAGACAATCACGGGGGCCCCTGTGCCGCTGATCAGGACGTGATGTCCTGCGTGAATTTCATCAAGAAGGAACACCATTGCTAGGTGCTAAGCCGGTGCCTGTCATTATTTTCGCAAAGGCACCAGGTCATGGCACAACGGATCCGCACCCTCATTCCCCCCCTTTTCCTTCCCCTTCCCCGGCAGCAGCTTTTCTCGTTCGTGGTTCGTCTTTCCCCCCCCCCCCTTCCCCTTCCCCCCGGCGCCCTGCGCTGGCACCGGTGGTTCCCCTGTACACGCACTCTCAGTGCTCCTACCCTAGTAGCAGGAGACGCAGACGATCATTCCTCGTAGCAGGTAGTCACAGTTCAGGCCTGCATGCGCCAAACAGACCGCCAGTAACGAGGGCTTTTCGATCCTTTCAGGAAGCAGCCAGACAGACAGATGGATAGGTGGACAGACGGACAGACACATCGAGGGTGGGTACACGGAGGAGCCCACGACGAGTCCTCTCCGCACTGGTGGCGAATCCGCAAAGCCATGCCATATCGTTCTGAGCTCTCAGCCGCAGGGCTCTCCCATCGCAGGGCTCTCCCATATTAATTAGTTCTCGAAACCGTACAGTACCGGCAGTCGCACCACCAGCATGCCCGAAGGAAAGGCCCCCACGCCGCACTCAACCACTCCACAGCCTCGCTCCGCACTCACCCGTGCCCACTAGATCGATGAAATGTAATGGACAGATGATTGAACTCCATCTTTTAGGGGGCAGCAGAGCAGCCCGCACCCATCCACCCAGACCCCAATCTCCGCCAAACTGTACCAGGAAGGCCCAGGAGGCCTTACCTGTATTGCAGTAGGCCAGATCGTCGAGGCCGTACGGCAGCGTGGCAGCATTAGCGGTTATGACTGACGCGCAGCTGTATTTATCCCACATGGTGACGAAACGAAGGCAGTTGGGGATGGCCCACTGGCTGAACTTGTTGACACACAGCACCAAGCCAACCTGCAAATTGTGAGAAGGCCGTGAGTCAGTCAGCGATTAAAGAAAAAGACATCGGATTTGTCTCAAAACGCAAAGCGTCGTGTGTGTGTACGTGTGTGTGCGTGCGGTGTGTGTCTCTCATAGACACACGCAAAGGAGACTAGAGCTAGCAAATGTGATTATGATTAGTGAAGTAGATATATACATACAGGTATGGTATGGATTGTTCGTACAGGTACGGGCAAATAAATGTCGTATCTTTTTAAAAGCTTTTTATACCGGTACGGGATACCTGAGGTGCGCTGCAGTTTAATGCGGGATTAATCCTCTGAAGAAAGCTGATGGAGGGTAAGGCAAGAAGCTTCACGATGCTCGCACAGGTGTCGCCTGCTGCGAGCGTCCTCCATTCGCTACAGACCGCGAGGATAGGCGCCGGTGCAGTACCGGGAGGTACCGGATCCGGAGTGGACAACGGTGGCGGTGGCGCTGGCGGCAGGGTACAGCGGAATGGCTTGATGTAGAGCTTTAGGTCTTGGTACTTTCTGCAAGAAGGTTCTGACGTGCGGCAGAAAACGGCGCGTGGAGAATGATTGCGGAGTGTGCCAACATTTTGCGGCGGCCGAGGGCCTGAATCTGCATACCTACGCAGTCATTGGGAGTTGACTGATTTGTTGAGCTGCGAATTTGAAGAATCTGCAGGCGATGCAGATAAAATGAACGCGCTTACACGCGTCGGCCATTTTGGCGCGCTTCGCTTGCTGCGATGTGGACTACCTGACCTGGCGTGAAGTTCCCCCCGAAGACGTGCTCGAGAAGGAAATTAATGTGAGAATGAAGTAGTAAAGTATTGGTATTCGGGGCATACAGGGCAGTTCTACAACGACCTTTTTTTCATCGTTGACTCGCATTCTGGTTCACCGCCGTTATGAGCTCTTTAGCCTAAATTACAAGCTCTGTTACCTTTACGTTCAAATTCGTCGTTTGTACGACTAAGGTCTCGTGGTTAGTGAGCGCTACTTTTCGGAATCAACCGCCCCACTGTTGGCTGCAGCTTGTACGGCATGCATCAAGTCGCTGAAGACTAAAATGAGGTCTTACAGCCACAATGCAATGCATGACCCGTATTAATAATATCCCCTTACAAATATTTATTAATCACTATTGGTATCTCCATAAGAATACGTCTCAAGCCTTTGACAGAAATGAGTTTGACAATGATTTATGATAAAATGTGATCGTACATATATTTTGTTACTGAGTGTACTGTTATGATGAGCTGATAACTCCAGAATGGTGCCCTCAGGTTGGGCGTTGGGCTGGGTTTTCCTGGCTTTGCCCATTATCGCGGCCCAGGGCGGGTATTTCGAAGTCATAAGCTCATACGAAGATTTGGTCATGCAATTACAAAATTCGATGTCTAGGAATGAATCTGAGATGCGATTGCGGTTAGTGCCGGCTCGTCTGTATACCATTGAAGCCCCGCTAATTGCCGCGGCGACTTCTGGGCTATCAAGTTTCATTCTGGAGGGCCCAGAAGCGGCAAATGCTAGCGAATGGCCAGTACTGGCTTGCGGAAGTTTGGCTTCTTCTGCGCTCATCCTCAACGTCACAGTTGTTCGGCTGGCCAACCTACACATCAGCGACTGCCAGGGCACTGCTGTGATACTTCAAAGCCCTGACACTCCAGCAACATCATCACCTCCCGTCAACTGGTCCCTTCGGAATGTTTCCTTCTCCGGCAACCATGCCGCGGTAAGCAAACCGGTTTGCTTTCCCTGCCTCCTGTAAACAGCGAAAAATTATGGATTCAGTACTAATAAAATTTTGGAGAACCACACCGAATTTAAGCTTGGGCTTTCGCTCTGCCCACAGGTGCAAAACGCTGTCCGGCCGATTCCAGGGCTTGGCGGCATCGCCTTCACCGCTTCAGGTCTTTTGGTTCCGGAGCTTCGTGGCTCGCTGACCCTCAGTGACTGCTCCTTTCAGCAGAATACCGGCGTAACCAGCGGCATTGCTTCGCCACCGCTCGCCGTGTCCTGTCCAAGCAGGCAACCTGGCTATGACTGCAATGTCACCATCACGGGAAGCAGGTTCACCGACAACACCGGTCAGCTAAGCTCGGGCGCGCTTCTGCAGGCCTTTGCTGGTGGGCCCGCAAATCTTCGCGTCGCCTCGTCAACCTTCGACGCCAACACGGCCGCGTACATCCCAGCAATTCGCCTCACAGGCCGCATCCCAATGCCACCGGGGACATTGCTGCTCCTTGCTAATGGTACTGATCCGGCTGTCGTACGAATCGACGTGCAGAATACGACATTCAACGGCAATATTGGATCGTACGGCCTGGCGGCAGTACGGCTTGTTCCCGGGAGCCTTGATAACGGGGCGCTGGAGCTTCACTTTCAAGCCAGAAATGTGACACTCGTCGATCACTCTTCCGGTCCCGCGGCTCTCCTGGCTTACGGAGTCCGGGTCGCGAACCTTTCCGAAGTGCTTGTCGAGCGAAACCACATTCCGCCGTTCGATCCGAGCGTCGTCAATATCCCTTGGGTCTGTAACGGCGCCGTCGCGTGCATCGCGATCGACGGCCCAGACGGCGCAGTGCAGCTCAACAACACGACGTTCGTCGAAAACACGGTCTTCGACTCGGGTGCACTCTACGTCACCACTGTGGCGCGGCTAGCCCGAGGCAACGCGACGTCACTCGGCAGTATTACCGCGGGGGATCTTCGCCTAGTGGGTACGACAAGCATGCAGCTAGGGCAGGCGGCCATGATCAGCGCAATCGCCGTCGTCTCGATGATGGGCGGTGCGGTCAGGGACAACTCGGGTGGCGGCGGCCTCATGATCGAGCGATCAAAAACCCTTGAGCTGTTCGACTTTCGCTTCGACAACAACGTCCGTGGCCGGATGACCGACAAGCTGGGTAACCCCAGCCCGGACTTTAGCGACGGTGGCGGACTGTGGCTGAGTACCGTCATGCAGGCGCGTCTTGAGGGATGCAGCTTTACGGGCAACAGGGCCGCCCGTGATGGCGGCGCCACGTGTTTCATATCTGTGGGGAATTTACAGCTCGCCAACATCACGGCGATCAACAACACCGCACGTTATGGGGGCGCGTTTTTCCTCAATGGCGTTGACACAACGTCGATGGTGGGCGGCGGCTTCGATGGTAACAACGGCCGTGGTGGTGGAGGACTTGCGTTTGCAGGCTCAGGCGACATCGACCTCAGCGACGTCGTCTTTGACGGCAACACAGCTCGTGGCTCGGGTGGTGCAGTCCGCATCGAAGCCTCGCGCGATGCCAACCACGTCACCATCACGCGTTGCACCTTCACACGCAACACTGCATACACGACCGCCGCCGCCGCCGCCGCCGATGACACGGCGTCCTCCGCCAGCAGTCCCGGTGGCGGCGGTGCCGTACATATCAAGGCCGTACAGGTGGTTACGAGCTTTGTGGGCTGCAACTTGACGGGCAACGCCGCGGCGCGTGGCGCCGGCGGTGCGATTAATGTGCAGTCATCTTTGCCCGTTTTCATTGCCGGCAGCGACATGTCGTACAATGTGGCGGAGCTGCACGGCGGTGCGCTTTACCTTACCAATATGGACCCCGCGAAGACCTCGCAGATCGTCAACTCCGTACTGTACGGCAATAAGGCTGGCGTAGCAGCCTCAGATGCGGCGAGTAGCAGTAGCAGTCGCAGCGGCGGCAGCAGTGGCGGCAGTAGCGCTGATACTGGCGGCGAAAGCAGTGCCCAAACAAACGAGGAAATCATCAGCAGTACCAGCACCACTTCTACTACCAGCACTGCTACAGCCACCACCACAACCGGCAGTAGCAGCGGCGGTTTAGGCGGGGCAGTGTACCTGGAGGCCAGTAAATTGCTTGTCAAATGCAGTCAGTTGAACGGTAATGTGGCGCGGCAGGGGGGCGGCGCCATCGCGGCTCAGCTGCAGGCTCGTCTGGAAGTGATGGGAGACGAGGACCAGCCGCGAATTTGCCCCGTGCTGCTGTCCTTGCCAGAGATGGCGCGCGCCTCCGCCGCAGCTAACAACGTGCCTGTACAGCGGACTGCCGTACTGCCGTCGCCCACGACGCAACCCGTACCCTCCTTGCCATCATCGACGTCACTGGTTAATCACGTCGTACATGTCGATATGTCGTACGCCACGCTGTTTGTCGGCAACACAGCCGCCGTCGGCGGCGCGATTTATGTACGGGATAGCGCGATGCGGCTGCAGGCGGTTACAGGGGTAAGCACGTTGAGCAGCCCTGGTGTGCTCTTCGCCAATAACTCAGCAGCGGCTGGCGGCGCGTTGTGGATTTACAACGGCCGGGAGGCGGTCGTGGTGTCGGATTTTGCCAACAATACAGCCACCGCGCCTGCCGCCGTCGTGGCTGCCATCGCTGCGGCGCTGGTTCTTCCGCTGCAGTACGGCAACGGGTTCAGCGTCGCCGCCGCCACCAGTGGTGACGGTGACGCAGAGGCGGCGTTGGCAGCGGCAGCAGCAGCAGCGGCGCTGCCGCTGCCAGGTCATGCAGGTGCTGGCGGCGCGATTGCCGTACGGGGGTCGGAGACGACGTCGCTGATCGTGCTGGATTCATTGTTCATGGGTAATGCTGCCGTCGACGGCGGCGCCGTACATTTGGCGTCCAGCGAGGCCTGCGCGACGGCCGAGGGCTGTTACCGCGCCTCCCTGGTTGGTTGTGTCCTGGTTAACAATACGGCGTATGGCGGTGGCGGAGGCGGCATTTTCTGGGAGCATTTGGGACTGCTGAGAGTCTCTTGCCCCTACCTGGCTCGCTCCAATGAAGGAATTGTCGACGGAGGCGAAATGTCGGCGGCGCCGCCAGGGGACGAGCAGCAGCTACTGCCGCCGCCGACATCGCCGACGGTGCCGCAGCTGCCGCCGTCAGCGCCACGACAGTACCACCGCGCACCACCAGCGATGACGCCTGACGTGGCACTGTTGCCGTGCAACAGCTGGGCCGGAAATGCCGCCGCCGACGGCGCGTACGGCAATGACGTGGCTAGTACAGGATTCACGCTCGACGCCAGCCCGCATTACCTCGACTTCTACACCAGCAGCAGCCCAATAGCTGTACGGCTGAGCACTTATGACTACTACGGCCAGCTTTGTACGGGTGGCAACCGTACCGTCGTGATACGAGCGGTTAGCGAACAGGTCTGTGGGGTTGCGGAGGTTGCGGATGGTACGGAAGGCTGCCTCGTAAAGTGTGGGCCGCCGCCGCCGCTGCCGCTGCCGCCGGCGACCGCGGCAGTGGTTGTTATCATGGGTTCGAAACCTGGCCGAAGCGAAACCCGGCCCGGGTTCGACCATCCCGGCCTTGGCTGGTTGAACCAAACCCTTGCACCACCACGCACCACCTGCTTCTCCCCGCGATCTCCAGCTCCTCTCCTCCCCCCGCGCCTCTCGTACCACCAACGCGGCTTCCATCCACCACGGCTGATGTTGTTGTCCCGGTGTTGACCTTTCTTTGCTGCGGCTGTGCTGGTGCTGCTGGTGCAGGTATTTGGTCAGACGTACATGGTCACAACAGATGGTACGGCAGCCTTCACGGATCTCAAATTGCGGGCTCAGGTCAGGGTCTGGATGGGTTGTGGTGCCTGAGGGTGTCAGTTTTACAGGGTATGGGGTCTAGGAGAATTGGATTCGAGCTTGCGGGGTGGAGATGGGGCCGCTTGTGCTGGGAACGCGTTTGTACGGATGTGTACGGATGATTGCGGGGGGGGGGAAAATAGAGGGGATCCGGTATAATAAAGCTATTTCGGAAGGTGTTCAGAGGACCTAGAGGGAAATTTTAAATAGGTGGGTTTCGGAGCGCGTTGGAATCTCATCCGAAAAACGCTCAATCTCCCGGCCGACCGACCTCTAGATAGAG